AAACTGTCAGAGATTTGCTCTCTCAGGATGAACAATATGCTGTGTCTGAAGAGAGACAAATACAGACAACCATGCTTAGTTCTGCTGATATCGTGTGAAACTCCTCAGCCCCATATGGGGAGGAGAAGCACTTAAAACTCCATGCAATGAGCAGGCTGCCATTCTGATGCTGATCTGAGTAGCCTTTGAAAGTGACAAGCCTCGGTTTTTGTGTATGGTGTATGGTAGTAGTCAAGCTTCATTCTTTTGCATGAGGCGACCCAGTTGTCCCAGCACCATTTATTGAACAAACTTTCTTTGCTCCAATGCATATTCTTTGCTCTTTGTCAAAGATTAGTTGACCATAAATCTGTGGTTTTATTTCTGGATATTCTATTGGATTCCATTGGTCTGTGTGTCTATTCTTGTTCCAATACCAGGCAGTTTTGATGATCATGGCTTTGTAATAAAGGTTGAAGTCTGGAAGTGTGATACCTCCATTTCCTTCATTTTTTTTTTTTTTCAGGAGAGCTTTGGCTATTCGGGGTTTTTGGTGATTGCATATGAATTTCATCAATAATTGTTCTATTTCTTTGAAGAATGACAATGAAATTTTGATTGGAATAGTATTGAATCTGTATATTGTTATTGGTAGGATGGCCATTTTAATAACGTTTATTCTTCCAATCCATGAGCAGGGGATGTCTTTCCATTTCTTTGTGTCTTCTTCTATTTCTTTTAACAGTGTTTTATAGTTTTCTTTGTATAGGATTAAATAACTAGACATAAGACCTGAAACCATAAAATATATAGAAGGAAATATAGGTGAAACACTACATGATAAGAATATCAAAGACATCTTTACAGACACATCACCCAAAGCAGTGATAGTGAAGGCAAAGATAAACAGCTGGGACTACATCAAATTAAAGAGCTTCTGCACAGCCAAATAGACAATAAAAAAAAAAAAAACAAAGAGAAACCCCACCGACTCGGAGAATATTTTTTCACACAACACTAATGATAAAGGACTGATCACAAAAATCTACAAAGAGCTGATGAGACTCACCAAAAACAAAGAAAATAAGCCAGTCAAAAAATGGGCAGAAGAGCTAAAAAGAAACTTCTCCAAAGAGGAAATGCAAATGGCCAACAAGCATATGAAAAAATGTTCAACATCACTTGTCATCAGGGAAATGCAAATCAAAACTACCATGAGATACCATCACACACCAGTGAGAATGGCACATATTAAAAAAAAAAAAAAATAGCAACAACAAATGTTGGCGAGGATGTGGAGAAAAAGGGACTGTCCTGCACAGCGGTGGGAGTGCAAAATGGTCCAATCACTATGGAAAGCTATGTGGAGATTTCTGGACCTACTAAACATAGAGCTTCCATATGATCCAGCAACTCCACTCCTAGGTATTTACCCAAAAGAAACAGAAACATCAATTCCAAAGAGCACCTGCACCCCTATGATTATAGCAGCATTGTTTACAATAGCTATTATTTGGAAACAACCCAAATGCCCCAAAATAGATGACTGGATCAGGAACATGTGGTAAATATACACCATGGAATATTACTCAGCATTCAAAAAAGATAAACACATGCAATTTGCAGCAACATGGATGACACTGGAAGGGATCATGCTCAGCAAAATAAGCCAGAAAGAAAAAGAAAAATACTGGATGGTCTCACTCATAGCAGGAATCTAGAAAACTTAAATAAGGGACCAGGAAAATGAATAACTATAAGAAAGTGAAAATCAAAATCAACAAAAAATTATGAACCAGAGACACTCTATGGGGGGTGGGGGTGGGAGGGGAGGAATCGGGGTCAGAATGGGGGGGTTGCAATTGTATGGGGAATATAAAAATAAAATTAATTTAAAAAAAGAAAGTGACAAGCCTCTGGGACTGCAGTCAGGATGGAAGTGCCTGGGTGCAGGAGGGTACAGCATTTCAAAAGGACCAGGGCTAGGATTTACACCAGGATCACAAGATGAAGAGAGATGAAAGAGTCCTTCCTGGCTCTTCTAAGAACAGACAGTAATTGTAAATTAAACTCAGAGTATTCACACAATAAATGTTAACTCTTTTGGGGACAATCTAAGAGATGCTTAACAAAGCTCAGGGAAGTATGTCTCCTCAAATTCTGCTCCTACTAATCTTTTTCACTCCCCTCTGAGGAGTGGGAAAGTTACAAATCACTCATAAAGGTCACATCTAAGGGACACAAGCCTAACAAATGGTGAGATCTAACCCCAGTGTATAGGATGCAACACCACATACTTCCCTACACCTCACCAAAGGGCTCCAGTACAATGACAAAATATTTCAGCTAAAACTTTGCAAAATATGGAATATATCTAGAAGTATGTTTTTGTAGTATCACAAAGACAAGGAAAAACAGGTAAACAAACACTGGATTAATTTGGAGTCACTGCCATTGAGAGCTACAGAAAATATAAAATAGAGTTCAACTCTAAAGTGGGTCACCACAAAACTTCACGTTAATAACATTGATCAGTTTGTATTACCCAAAATATCAAGTACACCATTCAACAGAAGATTATAAGGCAGTCCATTAAAAATGAAACACATTTTCTGAGGAGAGAAAGCAAACATTAGTGCAAGATTCAGATATTATACAGATTTGGAATTATTACACAAAGACTTTTTTAAACTATGGTAAATATGTTAATGATTCATAAAGAGAAAACATAACTAAAGAACATAGACAGAATAAGCAAGAAGATGAAAAATTCAGAGTCTGCAAGAATACAAGATCAACAGTATCTTTCTAAATATTGTAACATAAATAAACTTAGATTGGCACATCAGAATATACACTATGACTTGGGAAAGAATCAACAAGCTTGAAGACTAATCAATACAAGATTTATGAAACACACATTCCAAAATAACATAAAGGTTTGCAAAAGAACAAATAAGTAGTGGTGGATGATGTTAAAGGTATAACACAATTAAAAGCACAGTGAAATAAAAGAAGAAGAGGGGGGAGAATTATTTGAAAAAATGGCCAAATGTTTCCAAAATCAGACACCAAAACACAACTCCAAAAGGCTCATAGAACAGACCAATGGAATAGAGTTGAAAACCCAGAAATAAAGCCACACATTTATGGTCAACTAATCTGTGACAAATTAGCAAAGAATGTGCACTGCAACAAGGAAAGTCTCTTCAATGAATGGTGCTGGGAAAACTGGACTGTTACATGCAAAAGAATGAAACTAGATTACTACCTCACACCATACATAAAACCCTACACAAAATAAAAACTCAGGACAAAACTGCTTCTCTGGTAAATATACCAAATGGTCAAAGATTTAATGCATGCCCTTCCCAAATGTGTCAAGAGTTGTAAAGAAGCGAACACTTTCACAGTCAATTTACAATGTAAGCATTATGCGAATATAAAAAACAAATGAGGACATCACAAAAAATTACAGGTCAGTATTATTGGTAAACATAGATTCAAAAAATATTGGTACATGCAACTCACAATAATATATAAGGATTATGCACAATGATTTCTTTCTTGTGCCATCCATTCCAGAAATGCAAGGATTGTTCAACATCTCTCAAATCAATCAGTGTACATACCATATTAATAAAGGAAGGATTAAAATCCTATGTGCATCTAAATAGATGCAGAAAAATCATTGATGACATTCAACACAAATTTGTGGAAAAAAAAAAAACTCTCAACAAACGGAGTATGGAGGCAAAATACATTCACAAAATGAAGGTCACATGTGACAAAATAATGTTGAAAATGTTGAAAAGTTGAAATGTTGAAAAGTGTATCTCTCCCTCTCAAATCAAGAGTAAGTGAAGATCACCCACTCCCCTGAATTTTACTCAACATATCAATAGTATTGGAGGTTCTTACCAGACCACTTTAGTAGGAAAAAGGCAAAAGGGATGTATTTTGGAAAGGAAAAAATAAAAATGTGAGTATTTTCTAATGATATGAATATATATATATAGGAATTCCAAAAGAATCCACCAAAACCTGTCAAAACTGAAACAAATTTAACAAGCTTGCAAAATTGATATAAAAAATCAGTAGTATTAGAATAAAACTTTCAAATCAAAATTTAATAGGATATCATCTCACACCTTTGAGAATCACGGTTATCTTAAAGAGAAGGAATAAAAAATGAGATAAAATCAAAAAAGGCAAATGTGATATAATTTTACTTACACGAGAAGTCTATCATCAAAACAATCTCATAGATACTGAGAGGAAAAGGTGATTGCAGGAGGTGTGGGGTTTGAGGAGTGGACAAAATGGGAAAGAGGCTAAAACCCAAGCTGGCATTGTATGGTGGTAGTTGGTAATTAGATTGTTAGGGATGACCATTTCACTATTTATACAAATATTAAGAAACTAGGTTATATACCTGAATACCAATTAATGTTAATACAAATTATTGCTCAAACACAAAATGACAATATGTTATTTAATGAATATAAATTGAAACATATAATGAATCAATCAGTATTGACTCAATAAGTCTAAGTCCAGTTCAGAACAAGTATTGTCTTAGGATATCTTTTAAAATATATACATTAAATATTCATAGCTATTCATTTACATTGTAGTTTCAGAATATAACAAAAAAAAATTATTGGAAAAAAGTGCTCAAAAACACTACCACAATTTAAAGGTAGAATATCTCAAAAAAAAAAAATAAGCAGATATGATATTGTTAAAGGTACTAAAAAATTCAGTAATATATTATATGGGAAATCAATATATTATATGGGAAATCAATAAGGTACACATAACTGAATTTGAAAATGACCATTTTATATATTGCCACTAGGTAAAAATTATATGTTGGATAGCTGTTGTATTTCTCATCTATCTGGCATCTGTAAAAAATATGTACGATATATGTGTGTATATAAATATTTCATATTCCATCTCAAAGAAAATGCCACAAATGCTGAGATTTACACTGGATAAACAAACATTCACATTTCTCATATTCTGAAAACTTTCCTAAAGGCTCTAGTGACGTCCCTGTTCCGCAGGCTGTAGATGAGGGGGTTGAGCATGAGTGAGATGATGGTGTAGAACACAGAGAGCACCTCTTCCTGCCCAGGGGAGTGGTAGGACTTTGGCAGAATGTACTTGATGATGGCAGAGCCATAGAAAAGCAACACCACAGTCATGTGAGAGGAGCAAGTACCCAAGGTTTTCTTGAGTCCCTGAGTGGATCCCATGCCCAGTACAGTGGACAGTATCCTTTCATAGGAGCACAGAATGCCTGAGATGGGAAGGATGAAAAAAATCACAGCACTGACAAAAATGCCCTTTTTGTACTGGGAAGTGTCAGCACAGGCCACTTTCAGAAGTGCTGGGATCTCACAGAAGAAATGATGGATTTCCCTGGAGGTGCAGTAAGGGAGTGTCAGAGTATAGACCACATGGATCAAGGCATTGAAGAATGCACCCAGCCAGGTCACAAGTATTAGGAACACACAGACCTTGGGATGTATGAGGATGGGGTAGCCCAGATGCTGGCAGATAGCCACATAGCGGTCATAAGCCATGACTGCCAGCAGCAGGCACTCTGACCCCCAAAGAGTGGTGAAGAGGAACATCTGGAAACTACATCCAATGAAGGAGATGTGGTGGTCCCCAGACAGAAAGTCCAGGACAGTCTTTGGGAGAAACGTGGAGATATAGAGGAGATCCATGAGGGACAGCTGGCTGAGCAGAAAGTATGTGGGGGTGTGGAGAAGAGGATCAGTCCAGATGAGGATGATTATTATGGTGTTGCCCAACAGGGCCACCAGGAGATCCAGCACCGTGAGTGTGTAGAGGACCCAGGGCACCGGGGTGCTGTGGAACAGATCCAAGAGGACGAAATCACTGTCTGAGGTCTGGTTGCTCAGCCATGCCATGCTCCCGTTCAAACTTGTAACTTTGGAGACAGTTTCATAAGTATTATGTTTGCAGTCTCTATATAAGTTAATCAAATAAAATCATGCACTGATTTCTAATATCTGAAGGCTTCTCACTTCCCTATCCTTCAACGTATATTGTTAGTAAATTTACCTTTCAGCAGTGTTACTAATGAGAGGTATGAAACTTACGAAAATGCCACATCTGGAATATGGCATAATTCTGGTTGAAAACACACACACAAACACTCATGCACACACATCATATATTTGTTATCTAAGTGGTTCGAAATTTAAACAAAGTCCACTTAAGATAACAATATCTAAACTGAGGCATTAATTACTAAATCACATACATTAATATATGTGCATATGTGGTTTACTCAGTTTATCAATACTTTAGAGACTATATAGAAGATGAGAAAAATTCAGCATCTAAGAAAGGCACATCTACCATCAATTAAACATTTCCTAGAGGAATTCCAATTCCTTCCACAACTCTCACCTGAGGCAAAAAGGAAAAACTATTCCTCTAAGAAGCTATTTTAAAAACATGTAATTAGGAGTTATTTTAGAGCTTCATATATAGATACACATACTTGTGATTTAATAGCTCCAATCATTAAGTAAGCTCATGGGGAAGAGGAAACGTGGAAGCTTCCATACCTCTTATTTCATGTCTGCAAAGGGAATCTCTCAGTGAAGAGGGTCTTGGTGTGTGCAAATTTGCATACAGATGTGAATCACATAACAATGGTGGAAAAGTAATTCCAATGCCTGAGAAAAAATGAAAAAATCCTTCTCCTACTGAGGGTAACTTAGCAGCAATACCATTGCTAGAAAATCCCTAAAGGTTACACCTTTCTCCTGTTTCCTTTCCTTCCTTGCTTGTTCCAAAGGCAGCTAAAGTGATACCTGAAGTGACAGAACAGAAGGCACAGCGGCATGAAAATTTGAGCATCAACTCTGGGATGAAAGTAAAATGTGGGGCTATTTTTATTAATTTCTTAAACTGTTTTCTGGAAGGTAATTCATGAGATGATTTTATGAAAGAAGCCACATTTAATCACATTAAACATATGCCATTGACATAATAAAAGAAAACGTTCACACGGTTCGGTATGTTCACTTCCATTCACAAGCATCAGAAACACCCTGTGAAGCATCCTCACTGCTCAGTGCCCAAGGGAGACGAGCCGAGGCCAGCAGGGCCTGCTGTGCAACCGAGGGCTGATCATCGTGTGAATTTCCACACAAACACCCTCAAGATTTGGTAGATTTCAAGATCATTATGCATTGAAATTTTTCATAAAATCACAAAGGCTCTATTAATTAGTCCTTTGTCTATGCAAGGACAGTTATTGGTATATCTCAGTTATGAGAGTGGGAGAAATACACATTCTGAATCAGTGACATATTTGAATGATTTTTGAAAAAAAAATTATACGAGGAATTTCCCTTCTTTTCTTTCTAATATGCATTTTGTTGACTCCCAATGTCCCCTAGTACATATTACCATCAACACTTCTAATCATGTAATGAAACACCCTAGTTCCAAAGGGATGTGTCTGACTTCGGTAGATTTTTACATAATATTTATTTTATTCAGTGTTAAAAACAATTTATAAAGCCTGAAATTAAGGATTTGTAAGAAGTCACACAAACATTAGCCAGTGATAAAACATTAATTTGGAGATAACTCCCCTCAATTACCTTCTGAAAAAATCTCTTTTGTAAGTGAGGGTCATGAATAACAGTAAAATCAGCCAAAAGAATATATTTACTACATTTGCTCAAAAGGGCATTAATTGCAGTTAAGTGACTACTCATGTGCCTTTAAGATGACTTGATCCAGATCTAAGAGCCCTCACTCATGTCAGTTTATGGAGACACTGAACACTAGAGACAGGCTCCTGGCATGGAAACACACAGCCTGTCTTTCTTACATAAAGCCAAAACCTGTCCACGTTGGAGTTGGGAAATCAGACCTTTTTCAAAATGAAACCAAGTTATCAGACAGGCATCAAAAATTGCCTTTTATAAAACAATAGATTGTGTAAGGCAAAAAAATGCCGGCAACCGTCCAACTCTATACCTTATTCGACTCAATAGAATGCATCACCAGTATTTTATGAATTTCTAGATTGATGTGCACACATCAGGTTTTGTTGAGATGTCCCATTATATTCACTGGGTTAGAGCATCATATTTTAACCAGTTCAGGAATAAAAACACACTTCTTCAGCATATTTCCTGAGAAAAACACTCCTACTTACTCGAGGAACTGGACCGGAGCTCCTCCTAAAGTGCTGCTGACAAACTTCCCGGCCCCACCAGCATCAGAAGCGTGCACCCTGCATGAACAAAGATTTAAATACCTTGACACGCTGTTTCAATAACCCAAAGCTAATTGACTGTTCACGGGCAGCCCTCAGAGGGACCGTCCCCATCCGCACTTGTTCCCTGAAGTAAAGTGTGCAGAATTATCTCCCCGTCCTCTGTGACCCAGAGAAATGCCTGCAGCTGTCTCACAAGGACATGCGGGCTCCACCTCAGGGAACACTGAGTCAGGTCATGAGCACTCAAGAGTCTGAGTAAACACTAAATTTAAGCTTGCCTTACGTAAAAAAATGTGTCTAATGAGAAGCATTTTGGCTATGAAGTGACCATACCTGTACTTCCCATAGAAGAAGTACTGAGCGAAAAGGAAAACTACTGACTTTTCATTAAACTGTCAGAGATTTGCTCTCTCACGATGAACAAAACGTTGTGTCTGAAGAGAGGCAAATACAGACAACCATGCATAGTTCTGCTGATATCATGTGAAGCTCCTCAGCCCCAAATGGGGAGGAGAAGCACTTAAAACTTCATGCAATGAGCAGGCTGCCATTCTGATGCTGATCTGAGTAGTCCTTGAAAGTGACAAGCCTCTGGGACTGCAGTCAGGATGGAAGTGCCTGTGTGTGGGAGGGGACATCATTTCAAAAGGAGCAGGGCCAGGATCCACATCAGGATCACAAAATGAACAGAGATGAAAGAGTCCTTCCTGGCTCTTCTAAGAACAGACAGCAATTGCAAAATAAACTCAGAGTATTGTCACAATAAATGTTAACTCTTTGGGGGACACTCTAACAGTCTGAAAAGAAAATCATTAAGGGCACATTAAATATAAACTACATGTTTGCCCTGGAGCACCTCGACCAATATACAAACATTCCATCCAAAATCCAGTAGAACATATGTTTTCCTCAATAGTAAAAGCAACATTCTCCATTATAAATTATGTATTAGGCCAGAAATAATTTCTCAATATTATAAAGACTGAAAAAGATTCACGCAGCTTTTATATCAAAAGCTATATGAAATTAGTTGTTAGCTACAAACAGAGCACTTATAATTCACAAATGTGCAGTTAAGTAACAGGGTTTGGATCAAAGGAGAAATTGTAGAAAATAAAAAAAATGTCTTGATACAAATGGAAATACTATATACAAAATATTTATGAGATGCTGCAAAAGAAGTTTATTAACTACATTAAGAAAATGGATGATTTCAAAACTAAAGTTTTAAAATACCTAAGTTTTAAACTACAGAATTTGGAAAGTAAAGGAAATACTACTCCACGATTAGTAGAGGAAGGTAAAAAATAAATTAGAGAGGAAATAAATGACCAGGAGACTAGAAATTTAATAGAAAATGTCAGCATAAAGACTGAATGAATTTTAGACCAGAAACAAAACTGACAAACCTCTAGACATACAAAATCACAGAGAAAGAAAGAAGACTAAAATGAACAAGATCACAAATGACATGACATTAAAGCAGATACCACAGAAATCTCAGAAATGCGAGTCAAAGTAATAGAAGAGGACTCAGAAATGCAAATTGAAGAGGTACAACAAAATTTAGAAAAATAATGAGTTAACAAATAAAATCCGTGAAAATCAAACTTTAAATAAGAAAATAACAGAAATTCAGGATGTCAAGGGCTCAACAAATGAAAACAAGAAGTCTAAAGAAAGCTATGGAAGTAGAAAAGATGAAACAGAGGATTAAATCAGTCACCATGAAGACATTAATATAGTAAGGACGAGGTGAAAGAATAGAGAGAAAAAATAGAAAATAATGAAGAGATAATTTGAGAAATACCTGACACCTTTAAGAAAGCCAACATAAGAATAATGGATATCCCAGTAGGGCAAAGGCGAGTGAAGGGCAGGGGCGGGGGGGGGGGGCAGAGAGCCTATTCAAGGAAATAATAACAGAAACTACCCATATCTGGAATTAAATATACCTCATGAAGCTAAAAAAAAAAAAAAAAAAAAAAAAAACACCTGGGTATCTAAATGCAATGAGCCTACAGCAAGACATAGTAGTCAAAGTACCAAATACTCAAGGCAAATAAGGTACTGAAGGCAGGTAGGAGTGAAGGGCAGGTAATGTATAAAGGTATTTCATCAGGCTTACATCAGTCTTCTCAGCAGAAATCTATAGCCAGGTGAGAATGGCATGCCATATTCAAATTATTCAAAGATAAATACTGTCAGTCAAGAGCGCTATACCTTGCAAGACTGTCTGTCAGATGAGAAATTGTCAACACAGTGGTAACAAATCAAATTCAAGAACATATTAAAGGCATCAAATGTCATAAACAATTAGAACTTATTCCAGGGTAAAAGGATGATTCAACATCCATAAATCAATCAACACAAATCCCCACATCAATAATAGAAAATACGAAAGTTTTATGACCATATCAATAGATGCAGACACTATCAGAAAAGATTAAACATCCATTTATGGTGAAAACTCCCAAATAATATGGATAGATAGAAAATATAACAACATAAGAAAAGCCATCTATGACAAAACCACAGCTAATATCATAGTCAACTTGAAAAACTAAAAGCCAGCATGCCTCAGCCTCACAAAGCAACCTTGCCCCACAGCCTCTGAGTGCCACAGGGATCCAGTTACACCACTTCCCTATTCTTTCCAAA